TCTACTGATACACGTCAAGGAACCTGATGCTCCAAGTAATTACTTATTGACTGTTAATTAACGCCTCAAAGTTAGTAGCCTTTTATAAATTGCCTCTCACAGATTGTTGCTGTGAAACACATTTTCAGTGTAAATCTACAAAGAACAACATAAAACAACACAAGCACTGTGACTACCCTATCCTTGCTCTTTTTGATGAGATAGAGGTTGTGGACTGATAAACTGCTTAGTCTCAGGCTATCACTTGCATAGTTTAAAAAGGGGGATATGAATCTGAGAAATGCTATTTTGATAACGTGTTTTAAACAGTCTTTTGAAAGACATAAAGCTAATACATAATCAGTCCTGTACCTTCATCCTTTTTGTTCCTGTCTGTCCTGGGAAGAAATAGCTTTCTACCTTTTTTTTTCATGTCCTTCTTGCCCAAGGATTTCCTTAGTCCTGCACCTGAGATGCAGTGAATTCATGGAGGTGTCTGGGAGGTGACACAAGATCTTCTTACATGTGAAACAGTAGAAGTCTCATTTGATAAATCAAGGAAAACATTTTCTTATTACTGTTAGTATTTTAGCTGGTTCCTCAATCCCAAATTAATTTGAACCATATAGGTAAAGAACCACATATATTAAATTCACTCATACCTGAAATAACCTCCAGAACTTTAACTACAGCATAACAGCCTTTAGGCACCGATGAAAAATATCTGGACCTAAAGCTAGACAACACTAATGTCATCCCTCCAAAATCATGCTAAGTACAGCTGTTCTTATCAAGCAGCTTAGACTTTTAATGACCAAAATCATACTGTGCGCCAGGTTCCTCATTCAAATCCTTGCACGTCTCTCTATGGCCATGCATGAGCTGCCTGAGATCCTGTTTCTAAAGCCTTCAAATTCCTTTTAAATTCCAAACAAGACTAAGTTGGTTCCTAAACATGAAGCAATCCAAAATAAGCTTACCAGGCCTTACATTAGCAAAGAAAAAAAAGTGTCTAAGAGCTAGTAATGTCTTATATTTCTGTTCTAGAAGAAATTTCTCACCACACTTAGAAATTATGGCAAGCTTTTCGGTAATCTTGAGAATCAAAGTGATGTGGCATGGCCCCAACAAACTTTGAAGATCACTGTATACTCCAAATTTGCAGTACAGAATCCTCTTTGTGGACAAGCATCTGCAGGATTCAAACATGATAGGATTGGAGTAATGGGTGAAAATACAGGATTTAGTAGGAAAAGGTGATGCTCTTCCCAAGGACCACAGATTAGAGCTCAGTGGAAAAAACCCAAAACTATGCTACTGAGGTTATGTGAAGATTGCATCTGGAAGCGAAAGTCAGAAGATGCATTTATTATCTGTATTTATTTGTTGGTATCTCTGCAAATGAGAAGTATGTGCTCAATTCAAGCTCTGACAATAATGTATACTGGTACACTATTCTTCACTGAAAGAAAAACACAACAGTTCTTTGCAGTTTTAGTTTCAGTTCCCCCCCCCACCCCCCAATAATCTGAAAGTCACCAAATTTTTGAAGCACACAGACTTTATTATTTTGAAAAAATAAGTAGTATTTTGACTTCCATTATGCTGGGGCATAATTCTGTCATTCTCAGTGTTTAAATCACACTGTTTTTCTTCTCATGTCGTGTATACCAAAGACTAACTGGGAAAAAACCTAACTGAGATGCTACATTAAGTTAGTATCCAATTAGCACTAGTGCAAAGGCAATAAAACCAACTGCGGTTATGATGGAGGTGTTGACAGGTGGACCAATATCCCCTTTTCTTCAGAAACAGCACAGATACATGATTTCTCTAATACTGGAAAAATATTAATACATATTAACATATCTATCCTGCCTATCTTAACCTAGCTAAGTTACCTTAAACCTATGGTAGCAATAAGTTGAAGATAACAGTTAAGACCTTTGTCAGTTCCCAAGTCAGTTTCCTGTTTGTACTGAACAGCATTTTTAAGATTAGCTTTCAATTTATAACGGTGTGCTGCAGCACAATACTAATGAACTAAGCCTCCTGTAACAGTTTGGGTACCTATGCTATAAGGAACACTTCAAAATGCAACCACAGGTGGAAATCCCAGTTTAAAAAATACATTAGCCAACACATCTGCCATGTTTTTCAATTTTATTAATGGCTGGCAAATATATTTGTTGCAGCCAGTACAGAACTGTGCATACAAAGTACACGAAAATGTAGTCAAAACCTAGAAAATACAGGTTCCATTTTTCAACAGTTGTTGAAACCCAGCTAAGCACCAACAATACAAAGCCTAAAGTCGCATGGCAACATTCATTACAATTTTTATATAGAATTTATCACCTGTTGATAGCAATGGTGCCAGCTGCAGCAATATTAAAATGGATTAAAGATATTTCAGCAGAGATGCACAAAGAACTGTTTACCTACTGCTTCTTGTCTTACAGTAATGTGGTAAGCCTATTATAAATTAGAAAAGGAAGAAGTCTTGTGTCACGTGGCTGGTGACTCTTGTTAACTCACTATGCAACTATCATAAATCTGATTTGTATACTAGCAAACATCAGTATAGGAATATTGACAGCTAAATCATGAGAACTCAAGTTAGACTGCCACTTGCTAAACACTCAGCACAGTTTTACTGTACTAGACTGAAATCTGTGCACACACTGTCTACATAGAAAAGTATGCTTATCTTATTCTGAAAAATATATGGGGAAACATAGTAATGGAACATAAAATCTCAGTGGGCAGAAGGAATTAAACAAATATCTTGACTACATGTCCACTATGCAAAACTAATATTCAGCATTCCACAGTGAATTAAAAGCAGATTGCCTTTTATCAATGAAAACAAACCTATTCTGAAAATGAAAACAGCCACAGGAAGTTTCCCTTCAAGTATTTCGAAATTCGAGTTAATGAAAAGGTAAACAGTGTGGTCTGCATTTCATGTGACCTACAGAATATTGCTAGGGATAGAAAATCAATGATTTTTCTTTTTTTATTGTATGGTTAATAACTAACTGTGGGAAAAGAAGAAATAATACACTGGAAAATTAACTTTTGTTAAAGCACATAAGGGATGCCTTCTTTAGTTGAGGGTGTGCTATGGTCAACAAACAGCAACCAGTAATGTTATGATGGCTTAGCCACTACTTGTCAATAGTACTGTAATAATTAACTGTACATGTTCTTCTACTGCAGTGAGGTTAATAACCCTTTCAGGTTTTAAAAAAGCATCAGTACCCATCCATAAACTTGATTTGAAACATGACACCTATTCACTACAAGGTATGAGATTAACAGACTTCCATACCACTGAAACACAGGACCAACAGCATAAAGTAGCAGAAATAACAGTTCTAAGACCCAAATCAATTCCATGAAGATACATGTATTATCCGTCTTCAAGGATTACAGCTAAATGAAAGCTTATTTTAAATAAATATGGAAAGCATACAATCAGCCTTGACTATGAGTACATCAAAACTAATGGACAAAATAACCTAGTAAGATTAATAATGTTCATTCTGTAGTCTTGGTAGTAAAACTGTTCTCTTAGAAAATAAAATTCCAACTGTAAACACCTTTAAAACAACAGCGTCAGTTATTTCATTTTGGGGCTCCTATACTTTATGCAACCAGCATAAGCCTGATGAATTTGAATTCTTGGCAGAAGAATCTCCTGCAGGAAGTGACAAAAAGTCTTAACGTTTGAATTTAGCATCTCTCTTCAAGCATGAAATCCCTCTCTATGTGTCCTCACACATCTAGAATCTTCACTTCCGCACCATTTCTAACATGATAGTAACCAGTTTCTGACTAGCTCACCTTCAGACTGGAAAATTTTGGTCAAATAAATCTAAAGGAATGCTGCTTTTTAGCTCCATGTCAGCATATATGTGACTTTTTCCTTACTGTCTTCTATCATTAAGACAAGGAAAAGCAGTAAGATGCTTCCATCCAAACAGTGCTCTAGAAATACGAAAGTCCAATAATATTTTCCTATTAACTTGATTTTGCTCACATGAAACATGGAAATCCTGCTGTGCACCATGCTAACAGCTGAATTACATCATACATGACTGCTTTGCAACAGCATAGTTATATTAAAAACTAATGATGACATTATAGGAGGAAATGACCCAGATCTACATTAAAACTTAGCCTGTGGACTATAAACATTTCAGATTTCAAACTCCCTCAGTGGACCACCCACAGGAATTTAAGATAATGTGGAAGAAAATACACAATTTCATGTACCGGTATTTTTGATTCAGAACTGCTTTCTGGCATCACTTCTGCAGCTCATCCCTTAAAACAGTACTTATTTCTGCTCTTCTTTACTCTTCTTTTAGAGTATCCTGTCTGCTCTCAACCTCAGCTGCTTATTTCAACAAGCATCTTCCCACTTGTACGTCTTCTTTTCATCTCTTACAGACATCACCAGTTAGACAGTTAATATTTAATAAAGTCCCATCAGTGGGCTTCAGGAGAAACACTGCATTGAAATTAATGAGCCACATGGGTATTAAAACTCCATCTTTATTTCAGGCTACTTTTTGTCATGTTTTGCTCACATGGGGAAACTTCTCTCTGCATTTAAAAGCATTTAGAGCCTTTTTCCAACTGTTGCTGAAAGTTTAGATTATTTACACTAACTGAACCATGTACATGTACTATATAAACAAAACAAATCTATTTATAAAGACTCAAAACCCACTGCTATGCTTCCTGGTATTCTATTCCAGTTACTAAGGATTAGCCCACCAGCCCAGATGACAAGCCACTTGTACTAAACAGCTATGCAATTTCTTGTAGATATGTCCCAGTGGATAAATTTCCTTAGAAAATTAAGTAAGGTCTACAATGAAGACGCAGTATAACATACAGAACACACTGTGCAAATGCATGTACTCCCACCCACATATACACCTTTTTCAAAGGAGCACTCTCACAATCACAGAAGCAGGAGAAAGAAATCAAAAATCAACAAGCCTTACCTTTTTGCAGATACTTTCAAAATTAACTTCTGTCCTAAGAGCAAGTCTGGTAACCTCATCTGGCTTTATTTCCTGTGGACAAAAGATATCTTTAATCTTCTTATGATCTTTATGAAATCTTTCTAAGTTTCACCTTCCTCATAAACATTCTAACTTCATGGCATCTCCCACTGATCTCTTAAAGGAAGAAAATCAGTTTGCTATGAAGACTTTTTTTTTCGTATGTGTGTATATGTAAACACCACATTCATTGACTTCCAAAACATTACTTACACCAGATCTGACCGTATCTACTGCTACTCGGGGCAATAAAGACTTTCAACAGCGAAGTATGTAGAAGGGTGATTTTAGTTACGGAAGTGTTGAAATCACCTGTATTGAAATGCTCCATATATCTTAGATTCTGAAGTTACATCAGAAATTATCAACATACGTGAATATACAAGTTTAAGACAATGAAAATGAAGTTGAGAAAAAAAAAAAAAAACTCTGTTTCCTGAAGAGACTCACTATACATGCAGTTTTCATTCCTCGACTTAAGCATTTCCATTGGCAGCTGAAATAGAGCAATGAAAATTCTGGACAAGTGGATTTTGTTCAAAGTTGAATACTTTATGAAACATGCCCACATGACACATCTCTCATTATTTTAAAATACATGCTTTATATATGTTGTGTTGCAAAATGCCCTATTAACCTTATCAATTGAATGCACTGAATATTGGCTTTTTCCTCCTACAGTATTGTGTGAAATAAATCATGTTACATATTAGTTGTTTGCCAGATGGTGATTTAAAAAGTTGTTTAACTACTGTTATGCAGAGCCCAAATAAGTTCCACACATTGATAGTTCTGAAAAATGAAAAACTCTGTACACAAACCCCCAGTTATTCTGAGAGCTTTCATACAGAACTAGCCTATACCTGGTATAGGTAGCTTCAACACCTGAAGAAAATTATCTGTTTGCTTAATTTCTAAAACTGCAGGGAAGTAGATGACAGATATAAAATACAGTAATTTTGCAACACGTGGTCAATAAAGAAAACTTAAATTGGAAATGCCCATGCAAAGTATTATAGCTTGAAAAAATGTGACATGTCAAAGTGCTTGGGCTGCATCTGTAGTTAACATTATGCCTAGGTCTGGACAAGAAAAACACTAACTGAAAACCCTTAAAAGCAGTTACTGTAACTACTGGCTCAGAATCATTATTAGGAAAGATTCAAATGCAAATTAAATTATGGGAGACATGATAATTTACAAATGTCTAGGAAAAAAATGTACTATATAATAGGGAAGGACTTTCATGCTCAACAACTAAATTATACTTGTTCCTTTCTCTCTTTTGCCTTATTTATTTGTCCTTCGCAAGTATTCCAATACTTTAATTTAACATCCTGCTCCATTGTTAAGTTTCCATATTCTATCCTGTTTCTGTCCTAAATCTGGGGCATTCTGAGCACTTCCTTAGATGTAATTTCAGGAAGAACCAATTAGCTTACTTTCTTATAGAGCATCATACTTTTTATTTCAAAACCTTATGTTGTCCTTTCTTCTATATACTAGGTAACTTAAAGAGTGTTTGTGTCTTATCTAGATCTTTAAGGTGTTGCATAAATTGCATGCCTTAAAACTATAAACAAGCATTTAATAATGAGAATAAATTAACAGAACTAAATTAAATTAATAATAATTAAAAAAAAAATCTCTTTTTTTGAATGTCAGAAGAGCTTCCTGACAATAAGGTCTAGAAGTCTGCAAAATCATCTCCCAAAGGTACTAGTGGAAGCCCAGTCACTTGGAGGACAGAATCCAGACTGGAAAAACACTGGTGGAAACAATCTTCCACTGGCAGATGGACAGTTGGATGACCTAATAGGATCTAGAGATGGAAAAGACCTATGATTCAGTTTTCCATGACTTTCCAAAGCGTTTCACAGATGGTGAAAGTAGGACACAGTGGTTAAGTGACATGCGCATAGTTGGTTGGGGGCTATGAATGAAACTCTGGAATTCAATACTATTCATTAAATCAAGCTCTTGCTTTATTGAAAAAGAAGATAATTTATGTGATCTTCATCCCAAACAAAACCGCCTATTTTCTGTCTCTTTAGGATTTAAATGGAGCAACCCGACTTAGAGAGAAGGCAGGTAAACTTCAGAAATCTCTACACTAGAATGTCAAAGGTTTAATTTTTGTATGACAATACTGCAGAATTCCCTTAATATTGCAGAGCCATGCATAATAGTAGAGAAAGAATTAGAGTTTGGAATATGAAGTCACCATTGGAGCTTCACTGAAATGCTTAGTATACAGAATGAGGCCAAAAACCTCCTGTTAAGGCTTAAATTCCCAAATTTATAAAGCACATCCTTCACCTGCCTTAGATTCAAGGCAAAACAAGCATTTTTGACTTATATAGTCTTCAGCAGCACCCTGGCTTTGTAAAAGCAGTCACATAAATCAAGTTATTGGAATACAAGGCCTTTCTTTTGTGTTTATTAATGGTCAGCAGCAGACAAGAAAATAGAAAAAGGGTATAGTGATATTTTCCCCAGCAGAGTTTTCTCAACTTTGAGATGCACATAGCTCAAGAATTCCTGATCGCAAAGAGAGCCTCTGTATTGAGTATCTATTATGAAATCTTCATAGCCAATTATGTTAAGGGATGTTCACTAGAACAGCCTGATCTAGTGGAAGGTGTCCCTGCCCATGGTAGGGGGGTTAGAAGTAGATGGTCTTTAAGGTCCCTTCCAACCCAAACCATTCTATGATTCTACGTTATAAGTGGCTGCTACCTCCAGCATCTCTCAGACCAGTCCACTCCTGCCTTGCTGTCAGAGCCCAGCCTAGTGCATCCAGAGACCTGAGGGTCTCCATCCCAGGTCTATACAGGAACAGTTGCTTTCTCATTGGCAGGTTCAACCAGTAGTGAAGCTCAGCTATGCAGCTAGCTGCCACAAACAAGCTACTGCCTTCAACAGCACCGCCATGTAATACTCCCAGGACTCACATAAAGTTCACTACCACCAGCCAAGACCTCTTCCTTCTTTTTGTCTGGCCAGGATTGAAACTCACTATCGAGAGTATGTTCCCACTCACACCCTCTAGATTCATGGATCCCTCAAATATCAGCACAGCATATCCCTCTGTCCAGAGCCCTTTTATCCATCTCATGGGCCACCTACTTGCTGTCTGGCAGCAAGTCACTAGCAGACAGATGCATGCACTCACACTCTTGTCTTACAGGTACTTTTTGTCTTACAGGTGCCTCATGCTCACAGGTCCTTCCCAAACACCATCACAAGCCCTCTACCCATCTGATATCCCTGTCCGGACCCAGCACTTCCCACTCACTGCTTCTCTAACTTGGAGTTTGCTAGTGAATTACACATGCATGGTGTCAAATAATGTGAAAATGTAGACACTCTGCCTGCCCTCATCAGCAGCAGGCACCAGGCACATGGGCTGCGACTTGCAGTCCCTGTCCAGATGCTGCACCGAGAGTCTCACTTGTAGGCTTCACTGCTCACTTGCAGGCTCAGGGCAACTACACTACTTGTCTGACTCCTGTTGCTGGCCTTCCATCCACTCACGCTGGTCCCCCCTGTAGCTGGCACCTTGTCCTTACAGCACTCACACACACAGGATAAAGAGTGAAATGACAGAGTTAAGAAAAGATTTATAAAAAGATGACAGACTGTAGCAATTGGACACAGGCCTTGGTCAGGTAAGCGTACCGACTGGCACTCATGGGGAATCACCCCTCTGATATCCGCTCTCACCTATGCACCTTAAACACTGTTCACTAAGTTCTGCATAGTCCACAGGTACCCCCGTGTCCCAAAATCCTCATGTTGTTCTTGTTTCCCCTCCCTATCAGTTGCAAAGTCCAGGCTGGCCTTCTGCAAAGCAATACCAGTAGTTTCCTAATGGCCTGTTACTTAGTGGCTGAAGACTTTTTGTCACTGTTTTGGTTGTGCCTTGTCCAGCAGCTCTGTTTCTCTTTGTGTTTTTGTTCACCCCTTCCCCCTTCACTTATTATTCCATTAGCATCGAGAAGGTCCACTACTAGAGGCTCATAATGAAGAATGCTCGTCACCTTCCACATGCCCTCACATATTATGGCTCCTTTCTGAAATCACGTTAATACATGGTATCATAACATTCTGTGCCAGCAAGTTTCTAAGATTAATGAGGTGTTATGTTCTAAGTGAAGAGGGAACCAGGTAAGTATCTTACTTTACGAAGTATCTGGTCGACCATAATCCTAGATTAAGTAAATACAAAGCCCCCTTACTAAGCAACACACACTCTTCTCCTTGCAAATGATTTCTGACAGACATTTTAAACAAGCCCCAAATATTTAACAAAAAGCCTTCAAAATAAGATCTTGAGAGATGATGAAAAACAACTGTTGGGATCAACAGATCCCTCTCCCCTGAATGCTGACCATGTCTTCTCTTGTGAAAAAGAGATTACAATTACAGTAAGAGCTAATGACTTTCAGATACACTGCCAGCACTGATCACATCAGTGCCCTAGCTGGCAAACACTGGCATGGTGATGGATAATGGGTAGTGAGCACCAAAGGAGAACAGATAGTTTTCTTTTAATTACAGACTACACCCCTATCTCAACTTCTGCCACAAAACCGTTTGTGAGACAGGAATGTGAGCAAGGGAAGACTATATGCAGGTGTCTTAGTTTGGGCTGAAATAGAGTTAATATTCCTTTTCAGGGACTAGATGAGTGCTGTGTTTTGGATTTAGCTTTGGGTTTGGTATGAGAAGAATGCTGATAGCACACTGGCGTTTTCAGCTGCTACCGAGACTTCAAGGACTCTCCGACTCCCCATGTCCTGCCCGTGCGCAAGGGCACAGGGAGCAGGGAGGGAGCACGGCCACAGCACCTGACCCAAACTGGCCAGTGAAATATTCCATATCATGGAACGTCATGCTCACTATATAGAGGAGGGATGGTCGGGAAGGGGCGCTCTCTCTCTCTCTCTCTCTCTCTCTCTCTCTCTCTCTCTCTCTCTCTCTCTCTCTCTCTCTCTCTCTCTCGCTTC